GCAGGAGACAAAGTAGATTATTTTCTTAGCATTAATTCAGATATGGAATTTTTTTTTGAACCTCCTAGTCAAGGACATTTGGCCATCCTGTGTGAGGCTGTGCTGCCTTGGTCTGAATGCTTAATTTAATTATGGAAAAAAGTTTGAAGTCATTGCTCCCTGTATGGTACCAATGTTTGGCACCATCACTGGCCACATCCTGCATCTTCTCCATTTTAATTCTTGAAGAGAACCTTCCAAAGATGAAAATAGATACAATACAATGTCTGAGTCACACACCATTTCCACTAAATCAACTTATTTCTCTGGGTTTGTAGAATGCTACTTGTACAAAAAATATTCTGTAGAATGTCTAACTTCTATCCTTACAAATTTATAGTTGTCAACTTGGACTGAAATCTTGGCTGTCTTGGGATATTTGCAATAGTCTGTTTACAGTGATTTGTATCTCCATTGCTTTGCTTTAAATATATATTTTTCTATTTCTATCAACAAATGCAACAGGACCAAATTTGGGGGACCAAATATGCTAAGCCATGGGAAAAATAAACCAAGGTGATACTAAGCTAAACATGTTGTCTGAATACAATTGCTAGATTTTTAACAACCACTGCAAAACTACTGTGTGAATACAGTCTTTATGTAGTTCTATTCTTGTTTTTATTGTTCTTACTATATTTAATGTCTGCTATCCAGAGTACCATGGAGTTCTAAATTTAATAAACAAATAAATGTATGAAAGATTTGAGGCAAGAATGGTTTGAGCATATTCTTATGTCCCTAAAAGAAATCCCCTAGGATGTGACCAACGTCCGTCTTTTTCTCTCCCTATTATATATTGCTTCAGTTTTTAATCACAAGGTGATTCCAGCATCATTGAATAGATGGCTTTCCTAGGACAAAAACAGGAGAAACAGAAGTAAAGCAGCAGAATCTTCAGCTGAAATATGAAAGCAGTCAATTCTAGCAATATTCAACCGGTTTGTTCTTTTAAAAATGTGGAGTTTCAAAATGCTTTGGAGTTCTCAAATTCGTAACATCATGACTAGACAATACTCTCTTATCAGCCCAGTATTAAATTTCAGAAAAACCTATTACCACAAATGGTTCTTGTTACTTTAAAAAACAAGGTTTATGTAGATATGTCTAGCTAAAGTTGTATTAAGGGAAAGTTTCTGCATAAATTGTGCAACTTACGTCAGTGTAAACAGGCATGTGTATATTACTAAAACATTGCATAAAAAGTATTTGAAATATTTAGGTTAAAAGCACAAATTATGTTATGAAGGTTCTCCCAAATATCCTTTGCAAAGTAACCATGTGGCTCACTCTTTTATCAGGCTGGTAAAAAGTAAATGGTCACCATGATGTTTACTATTAATCTTTTTGGTTATTTCAGGCTAGCACAATCTAACCCTACCTGTTTATTTAAAAGTAAACACTATTCATTAAAATAAAACATTAGATTAATATAGGATACCTTTTCAATGACCTACTAGAGGCAACATCCCCAAAAATTGTGGCGTGGGCTTGTTAAAATTAACTGCCTGGAACCTCATTTACATTTGAATTTACTTTTAATTACATAAAGTTACTGTTATTATTCTGCAGCAAAGTATTAAATGACATATTTGTAGAAAAATACAATTGCTATACCATAATAGGGTTTTAAAGACTGAGTTATTTGATTGGTGGGTTACCCTAAAGTTTTGGTATTTAACACTATTCCTGTTTAGCTGGCAGTTCAATGTTATCACTTGTTTTTAAGTGATTATGGATGTAAATAGATTTGGTCTTATCCGTAGGCACTGTTCTAAATGCATTGTTCTTGCATTGTTTTAAATATTCTGAGTTAACATTGGATTGATTTGTAATTGAGTTACAGTTTTGTTTTATACTGAATTTGTCCTGGGCTGCACCTTGTTAAAGATGCATAATTAATCATCATCATCATCATTTTGTGGCCCGCTAAGGGCAGAAATTCAAATTAAAGCTTTCATAGAGGTGAGTATCTAATTTCTGCCTGGATTCATCCAATGAAGGGAGTCTATTACAGTAATTGGTTTTACTGTCAAACTGCTTTTAATGGTAAGTACCTTTTTTAAACAAATAATTTATTTAGAATCTTCTTCCTGAAACTTAAATCCAGTGTTCTGTGACCTGTGCTCTCGAATGAGAGACAATAGACTTTGACCTTCTTTAATATAAAAACATTTTGGGTATTAGAAGAATATTGTAATATTCTACATCAACATCTGGGTCATTTTTTCTCAAAATCCAACTCATTAACTCTCTTTACATAACTTTTAATATTTAGCCCCTGAGCATCTTCAGTGAGTAATAAAATAACTGGATGCTGCTGGTCCTCTTAGTTTTTTGCTTTAAAAAACTATTTGAGACCTAATTAGACTAATTGCTATTGATTGGAGGTGCAGTGATTGCACATACATTTTCAGTGCAAAATATCCTATTTTGCAGACATCTGTGATTTCATTAGCTAAGACTAAGACTCTCAGTTGGAACTCAGAGTTGAAACCAACACTAACAATATTGGCCTAAATCAGTGCTTTTCAACCTTGTCAACTTTATGATATATGAGTTGACGTCTGTACATTTTAAAGTTGGCAATGATGAATTTCCTCCCAATGAATGGAAAGGAGGGGAAAGCCTTCATTGACCTGCAGGAATATGGAGATTTTAGCTCTGTTAATGCAACCCAATGAAGGATTGCTCCCCCAAAGCATCCCAATATCCTTACTTGGGACTCCACTCAATAACCCATTATATTGTTTAATGACTGCACCAAGAGTGTTGTTATTGTGATTGCTGAATGAAGTGGTCACATGGGCATCTCATTTAATGATTGCTTTGCTCAATGAATGAGAGTCCAGTCCTAACTGGCGTAATAAGCAAAGAACTACTTATAAGATAGTTTGATCCTAGTTAGTACATAGACCAGAGATCACTACAAATTCTAAGGCCTATACTAAAAATTCCGGAAAGGCAGTTACACAGCACCTTTCTAGGGCAACCAACACCACTGTAGGTTCTTTTATTTTTTTTCAAAGTCCACCAAAAGGCTACCAAGTCTAAGGACAGCTTGGTGTCAATCATATAACAGAATAACAGCGTTGGACAGGATCTTGGCGGTCTTTTAGTCCAACCCCCTACTCAGGCAGGAAACCCTATACCATTTTAGACAAATGATTGTCCAATCTCTTCTTAAAAATCTCCAGGGTTGGAGCACCCACAACTTCTGGGGGCAAATTGTTCCACTGGCTTATTGTTCTCACTGCCAGGAAATTTCTCCTTAGTTCTCGGTTGCTTCTCGATTAGTTTCCATCCATTGCTTCTTATCCTGCCTCCAGGTGCTTTGTATGTTGACCTCCTCTGCTTTGTGGCAACCCCTTAGATCAGGGCTTTTCAACCTTTTCGGCCATTGTACCACTTTTAGGATATGGCAATCCTAAACCAATCGCCTAGCAAGGTGTAAAAAACTTGATGACCCCCCCCCCAAAGGAAAAAAGTGATAGAGTACAGGTAGTCCTCGACTTACAACAGTTTGCTTAGTGACTGTTCGAAGTTACAATGACACTGAAAAAAGTGCCCCCCCAAGGCACAGCCGAACAAAACACCTGCCTGCCCACCCGGCAGCGCTCATCCTCCTGTCTGAGGTTTTCATTGTTGTGAGCATTTCTGTTGAGGATTGGCAGTGGGGGTAGGGTTTGGTTTTTATTCCCCCCCCATCTGCTGGGTGGTTACAGCAGGTTTTGGTCACTTCGCATGACCCTGGGACACTGTGATCGTCATAAATATGAATCAGTTGCATCTGAATGTAAATCACAAGACCCTGGAGATGCTGCAACATTCCAGCTGATTGGCGCTTCTTCTGGGCTCAGCAGAAGGTCAGGATAAGTGCTGAGCTCCAGCTGGAGCCTGGCACTGATCCTGATGCTTCCACTGAGCCCTGACAGCCTCCAAGAAGCACTGATCCTGGCGCTTCCACTGAGCCCTGACAGTCCTGCAGCTCCAGCCATCCCTCGCTCAGGCTTGTGTGGTGCTGCCACCGGTTCAGCTCATTCCCCTCCCCCACTACCACTTTTCTAGGATGGTCGTACCACTTGCCAGGTGCTAATGTACCACAGGTGGTACCCGTACCACTGGTTGAAAAGCCCTGCCTTAGATAGCAGGACACTTCTATCATGTCCTTCTTGTCATTAAACTACTCGTACCCAATTCCTGCAACCCTTCCTCATATGTTTTAGCCTTCAGTCTCCTAATAGCTAAACAATGGATTTCCAAACGTACTGGGAAATGTTTATGCAACTCTTCTCGTGGTCTTTAGAAGTTAAAGGAAGAGTTACTTGGATGGTGCAGAGCCTCTAAGACAGTGGTTCTCAACCTGTGGGTTGGGACCCCATTTGGGGTCAAATGACCATTTCACGGGGGTCGCCAATCCACGCTGTCCACCATTTTTTTCCCTTTCCCCTAGCTGTTCTACTCCCTCTTATTGGTGGCCACACTCACTTGGGGGTCACCAGAACATGGGGAACTGTATTATGGGATCACGGCATTAGAAAGGTTGAGAACCTCTGCTCTAAGAAGCTCTTCCCTGGCTTCTGCTGGAAGAACAAAGAGGGAAACCTCAGTTGGGTTGAATTCACCAACTTTTATAAGCTCAAAGGAGGGTTGTTTACTTGGGCGCCTAACGGTTTGGAAAAGGCAGCCAAACGTTTCCTCCACCAAACGACGGTTGCACAAAAGAGAACTTTGTTCCGTCTCAAAACAGAAGGGGCCAACATTCCATGCCCTCTTAACGTGCCACTGAGCGTCGCAATGAGCGGTCCAGCAACTTCTTTCCGAGCCCGCGCGGAGTCCGACCGGCCATCCCATTCTAAGCAGCGGTGGGCGGGCTCGCAAACCCCGAAGCTTCTGATTGGTTCTGCAGGAGCTTAAGTGATTTGGAGGGCTCTTGCGGCGGTAAGCGGCAAGGTGGCGCTTGTTGGGAGCCTGTTGCTCCCGCTAAGTCTCCGCCGGGTGGGCGATAGAAAACCGGCGAGAACTGCTGCGAGCGGTCGCTTTCCCCAGCCGCTGTCTGTTTGCAGCGCTCGGGGAGCCTTTGCCGTCAAAGCGCTCGGATGTGGGCGGATCTCCTTGCTTCGATTCTCCGATGCCAGCTTCTGCCCGGCTGTCCTCCCGCGACGCCTGCCTGCCTTCGTCACCTGAAGTTTTAGCTCTTCTCTTCCACGGGGGGGGGGGGGTGAGCCCCAGCGTGCACCTTTTTGGTTGCCTTGTGGTCTCGCCGGGCGAATCTGCAACTTCAGCGCGAGACGTAAGTGGGTCAAGGGAAAGAGGCTGTGGGAATGGAGGTCGGGGAATAAAAAACCGGTTGCAAGGAATCTTTAACCTTCAGCTAGTTTGCCTGAAATCCTCTTTTGGAAATCTTGCAAATATTGCGTGCGCGGAGCGTGTTGCGTTCCCGTTCTCATTCCGTCCCTGCACAGCTTCTTTTCTTTTTTGGTGTGACAACTCTCACACATCGACAGTTTGGGAAAATGGGAATTGTAATCTGGCTATTAGGGTGGCCACCTGGTTAGAAAAGCAGAACTAACCAATATTACCTCTATCCACACCAATATTTGGGAGGGAATGTGGTGGATCCCATAGGTTAAAGAATTTCGACTGGCGTGACCCTGACAGCCTTTTATTCTGTGTCCCCTTTGGAACCCTTTACCCCAGAAGTGGGTGGACCCCCATTTTTCTGGCCTTCAGAGAGAGTGTGAAGACCTTGCTCTGCCAATTGGCATAGGGGTTGAAGAGTGTTAGGTTAGACAACCAAGGGGCTGGTTGGTATCCTGAGTTTCTTCCTTTTCAAGTTTTAAATCTTTTGAATTCTGTGTTTAACTTTGTTCTTGCTTATGTTTTATATTATGGTGTGTTTGTTGTATTGAAAACACGTGAGATGGGTGGGTTGATGCAATGAACTTGGCATATTAGGGAGGTCACTGGGGCAGTGGGAGTAGCCAATATTAGATGTATTCACACAATATGTTTCATCTGGTTGGGTAAAGATCATGCAAGTATATTCAGATGCCATGCTAAGCTTGCTTTGAGCGGCAGTTTAGTGTGCTTAACTTTTGCAAACCCAATTTGGGGTTCAGTAGGTAAGCCCCATAAGTATTTTGTATGAATGCAGGCAGAAATTCTTTAGGTTGTTTTGAAGTTCCTCTTAATTGCAGATGTTGGGATTGAATGTTGGGACCAACTCCATCCTGATTCTAAATGCAAGTACTTTCATTGATTGCATAAACACTGAAAACCTTAGACAAGATGCAACTTTTGTTTTGCTTTTGTGTGGTTATAGTGTATACTTATTCCTATGCTCTACAAGGATATTCCTTGTAGAGCATAGGAATAAGTATACACTTATATATGATGAAAAAATACTAAATCACATCACACATCACAAAATGATGCACTGTATATGCATATGTATTTTTTCCTTCTTTTGAAATGGGGATAGAGTTTTCATTCAGAAGATATTTTATTCCAGTAGCTCCATCATGTGCATAGTTTTGCTCAGGCTTCACGTTTAGACAATTTTGCTGGGCATTAATTCTTCTGAATTCAGTGCAGCTTAGTTCTGAAAAAATAGTATGGTATAGATAGGATTCCACTGTTGGTCTCTATGGAGTTATGAGTATCTTATTTCCATATGCTTATTGCAACATCAGTACTTGTATTCCTTGCTGATGTTAGAAAGACATTGGAGGGGTAGAAGTGTTTTAAGTGTCAGCAAATGTATAAAATATTTGCAGTATTTATATTTTATTTATGGTAAAATAGGTTTTTCTCCACTTCTCTAGTTGATTTGTAGTATGGAGAGGAACTCTTCAAAAGCAGAGACTTCTGAATATTAAATTCTTCAGGCAAAGCACACTACCACACTTCCATGGTTTAGTCTGAGATATATATCTTTATTGTGATTCTCACATTTGTAGAGCCTCAGATTGTTTTCAGATATGTTCTGTTCTACAGCCCAGTAATCTTCTCTTCCCTTCTTTATCTTATGGAGAAATCCTCTGTGATTTGTTGTTACTATAGACTAGTGTTGTGTCTTTCAATCATAATATTCAAACCTATTTCAAACCATAGTTTGTGAATCCTGATTTTTATCAATCAGAATTCCATAGTAGATTCCTAGTTTGTAGCTTGAAGATCTTTCTGTCTACAGTGGATTCAATACGAAATAATGGAGTTGTCCTTGTGGTTATTTCAGAATCCTTTTTAAATGTATGAAAACAATGGCCTGAGCCTGAGCTTGCCTCAAGAAAGCAGTCTGAACCAAGCTGCAATTGTGCCACAATAATTAAGAGTCAAAGTGTGAGGTTGTGCAAAATGCTTGCATGTTATGTTATTTCTGAATAAAATTGTGTGGTTTGGACTTTAGCCTATAGTTCAGTCATATAGGAAAAAGTTTAATTGGATTTATTTTCTTGATAACTGTTTTATATGCATGCGTCTGTGAGGATTGTTAAACAGTGAGACTCATTGGTGCAATTTCTGAGGGAGGGAGGAAAAGATAAATTATTCTCTGAAATCTCAGGTTCATGGGTTCAATTTATGAGTCATAAATTGGTTTCATTCAATGTTAATCTTTTTACTTATAATTTGATGAGCATATCATTGCTTGGTTCCCATATTAATCTAATATGCAACTTTCCATGATGTCACTTGGAAGTGTGATGATGGAATGGTTTTCTTTTTCTTTTTTTAAAGGTAGAAACAGGAATCTCAAGCTTTTGGATCACTTTTTTTAAGGGTGGAAATAAGCACTCAACTTGCATTGTTGAAAATCAGCCCTGGGTGCAGAAGGATATATGCATCCTTCTTGTCTAAGCTAAAACCTAACTAACTACCCTCTGGCTTGGAAACAACCAAGCCATAATGTATCATTGCAACTTATCAGCACTTAGTAATTTTTTTCATCTGGGAATCATCTCATTTTGAGTTAGCAAAGCCTGATACATTCCCTTGGGGATTTTGGCCCTTATTTTAATTTCTTTAATTTCAAAACTAAAAGATAAAAATCTTGTGGGTTACCATCACAGCTTATCTCATGGACAAATATCTGTGCATTTACCTGTTTAACTCAATTATGTGTTTTCAAGGAGCTGTGTTGCTATTGAATGACCTGTGTGTTGTCTTTAAGATATTAATGACCATATATAAATGTGAACTATTTTCCCTCTTTAAATTCAAATACTTCTACCCACTATCCGTGTAGATGCCTTTGAGACAACATGGAAGTCATTGTAATTTCACTTACATCCCTAATAAGCATCCATTCAAATACTAACCAGGTCTGAGTCTGCTTAGCTGTTGAGATCAACTATGATCAGCAAGAGCCACCATCAGATTTAACAATTCATAAATCATTTCTTTGACAAAGAGGGTGAAGACTGTTTATTGAGTCATGGGTAAGTGTCTACTAATGTAGGCTACACCTTTGACCATTTATTCTTAGGTCTGATGCAATGGACAACATATTTCTTGGAAATTGACCTGCTTCATTTCACTTGATTCCAACTCCTCATGGTTTATCAGTTATCACATCTAGTAGGAAAGTTGGATTCAGAACTGTATAAATCAGTGGTTCTCAACCTTTCTAATGCCATGATCCCATAATACAGTTCCCCATGTTGTGGTGACCCCCAACCACTTATACATCACCGGGTGCCAGGGGCATGGCGAAAGAAAAGGGGGAAAAATGGCGGACAGCCTTGTTTGGCGACCCCCGTGAAATGGTCATTCGACCCCAAATGGGGTCCCGACTCACAGGTTGAGAACCACTGGTATAAATTCATACAAGGGGGAATGATTCCAGATTCAGTACAGGAAGTTGTAGTGAGAATACTTCTGCCAATAACAATAATATTCAGAAGATACTTTTTTAAAAAAATAGGCCAACACTGGCCTAAGTAGATGAAGTGCTTCAGCATGTGGTATCTGATCAGATCCAGACTTTCTTAAATGCAGCATATTTTTAGGTCTTGTGATGCTGGGGCATTTCGGTTGGATCTCATGGAGTTTACACCAAGGAGGGCTGCAAAACTATTTTATTTCCAAGCTGTTCAACCTCTAGATGAAACTGCTGAGTGAGATCATTTTGAGATTTAAAGTGTCATCAGAATGCTGATGACATCCAATTCCACTTTTCTTTTTTATTGGATCCAGATGAGGCAGTAGAATTGCTGAATCAATGCTTGGTACAATAATGGGTTGGGTGAATGCCCAATAAATTGGACCTTAGTCCAGAAAGTTAAAGGTGCTATTTCTGAATGGTTCAGGTGAGTAGTATTCACTTCTCTTAAGCATCAGTTTCAGAGTTTGGGAGTGTTTCTGAAAACATCTTTGACCTGAGCAACATATAAATTTAATAAGTAATGAATAGTAATTAAAGGTAATGCTGCCCTTTATCACTCAAGGTTCTTCTTAGTGTGCCAGCTATGTTTCAACTTGCCCCAAGGTAGCCTTGTTGCATAATCCATATCTTGGATTATGTTGCATGGCCTTGAAAATGATTTAGAAACTTCAGTTAACACAAAACATCACAGCAGGACAAATGACTGGAATTTGATATTGCTGGTGCTTTGTGATTAATCAAAATAGAGGTCAAAAGGACCTTTGAGGTTGTATAGTCTAGTCCAACCCCCTGCTTAAGCAGGAGACCCTATAACAGGGGTGTCAAACTGGGGGCTGGTGGGCTGGATGCATCACATGCAGGCCATGGCCACCCGGTTCCACACAGGCAAAAAATATTGTGATGTAGCACGTGAGTTTAACACCCATACCCTATACCAGGGATAGGCAACCTTGGCTCTTTTATGACTCGTGGACTTCAATTCCCAGAATTCCTGAGCCAGCCATGCTCACCATTAGGAAGTTTCTTCTTAATTCCAGGTTGCTTCTCTCCCTGAATAGTTTCCATCCATTGATTCTTGACTTGCCCTCTGGTGCTTTGGAGAATAATTTGATACCCTCTTCTTTGTGGCAGTCCCTCAAATACTGGAATACTGCTATCATGTCTCCCCTAGTCCTTCTTTTCTCTAGACTGGCCATACCCAATTCCTGCAACCATTCTTCACATGTTTTAGTTTCCAGGGCCCTTAGTCATCTTGCTCTTCTTTGCCCTTTTTCCAAAGTCTCAACATCTTTTTTCTAATGTAGTGACCCAAACTGGATGCAGTATTCCAGGTGTGGTCTTACTAAGGATTTATAAAGCGGTACTAATGCTTCACGTGATTTTGATTCTATGCCTCTGTCTGATCT